ACGTTCTTTGCAGTAGGGTTAAAGTGGAGAGAATTTCATTATCATACCAAGGAAAACAGTCTGTTCTGGGCATTCAATTATCTCTCCAATTCTGATTTCCCTGAGGATCTGATAAACAATGTTGTTTCTGCTTGGTGCCTTGGAACTTTATTGTGAGTGACTCCATTTTTATTTTTAGCCAAGTTTCTTAGGACCCAGTGCAGAACGCTGATTCAAAACAATAACCTCTTATAGTTTTTTATTTAGTATCCTGAACTGGCTTTCATGCAAAAAAAGAAAAACTACATACAACACACACAAACACACATACATACGCAATCGGTGAACTATTCTCTGAGGTGTCAGAAATATATTTGAAACCATGAGTGAGGAAAGGAAGGAGGAAAGGCCAGAATATAAGAAATAAAAAGATATAAGAAAATAAAAAGATAAAAAAGTATATAAGAAAATAAAAAGTATAGGTATTAAAAGATAAGGGGCAAAACAACTTCAAGAGATCAGTTCTGTTGCTCTGTCATAAAGATTAAGTACTAAGAGATGACTGTGAGATTTGATTTTGAAGTTTCCTGTAATAAAAACAGAGCAGAAGTCTACCTAGATAAGATTTAGGAAGGGGCTGATATGGAAGCTTGCATAACAGCCTCCAGATAGCTGTCTAGGAGAGAAAGAAGAAGTCTAGAAGGAGCCACAGGAGGCCACAAAGAGGGAAGATGCCATGTTATCAGCAAGTCCTTACTTCCTTACAAGGTCCTTTCAAGAGAAGAATTGAAGCCACACTCACACATGAAAGTGGTAGAAAAGTCTATTAGGAAAGGAATACACTTTCTATAACTGAAAGCTGCTCATTTCTAGGGTGAGACTGACAATGATGTTCACCACAGCACACTTGTGCTATTGAATCTCTGCCCTCCCCAGGACCTGCCCACTGGCAGAATCACTATCTCAAGGTTTGAGGATATTGACTGAATTACATTTTACCTCTAAAGCATGATATATTGAGCCTGGGTAGATAAAATGAAGATCTGCTATAGAACTATTTGTTGTCTCATCAGAGGCTGAAATTAAGCCTATCATCAATCCTTAGGTGAGTACTCAGCCAAATCTAATCTTCGGACATTCTGTGACCTTATCCGGCCATATAGATAGGTTTAAAAGTTTAATTACGGAGCTGCCATCTTGCGGCTGTGTGCGCCTAATCTCAGCTGGTCTGCCCGAGACCCCCTGAGCGCCAACCCTAATCCCCCGCGCGGCCCCATTTCCGCTACAAGATGAAAGAAACTATCATGAACCAAGAAAAACTCGCCAAACTGCAGGCACAAGTGCGTATTGGTGGGAAAGGAACTGCTCGTAGAAAGAAGAAGGTGGTTCATAGAACAGCTACAGCAGATGACAAAAAACTTCAGTTCTCCTTAAAGAAGTTAGGAGTGAACAATATCTGTGGTATTGAGAAGGAGAATATGTTTACAAACCAAGGAACAGTGATCCACTTTAACAACCTTAAAGTTCAGGCATCTTTGGCAGCAAATACTTTCACCCTTACAGGCCATGCTGAGACAAAGCAGCTGACAGAAATGCTTCCCAGCATCTTGAACCAGCTGGGTGCAGACAGTCTGACTAGTTTAAGGAGACTGGCTGAAGCTCTGCCCAAACAATCTGTGGATGGAAAAGCACCACTTGCTACTGGCAAGGATGATGATGATGAAGCTCCAGATCTTCTGGAGAATTTTGATGAGGCTTCTAAGAATGAGGCAAGCTGAATTGAGTCAACTTCTGAAGAAGATATAACTTGAAGAAGTTACAGGAGCTGCTATTTTATAATATGACTGCTTTTTAAAATTCTTTTGTTTATGGGTCTGATAAAATCTAGATCTCTTAATATTTTTAAGCCCAAGCCCCCTGGACACTGCAGTTCTTTTCCGTTTTTGCTTATACAAAATTCATTCTCTGCAGCTAATGAAGCTGATAAAGCCTGGGAATAAAGGTTGAAACAAAGGTTAATAAAATTGTTTGCCTAGTTAAAAAAAAAAGTTTAATTACAATTTTCTCTCTTAGCGATGTGATCTTAAGTTTCCTTTACTTCTCTGTGGCTGGGGGCTAGCTGCTTCCTATCTTCTCAAGACCAGAATAATTCTGGTTACAGTCACTTACCATCTAAGATCTGAGATGACAGCTCCTGCAGAAAGAATCTAAGAGAGATGGAAATGGGGACACCAAAGGAATATTCTTCTGCCCAGAGAGTTTCTGGCTTTCTAGTACTGAATTAAATTATGTTAGGTGGGAATAAGCACTAGGAAAAGCTTAGGAATATATAGTTGTCATACATTTTGTGGGAATAAAAGATGTCTATGCAGGCACCAGTGACTCACACCTGTAACCCTAGCTTCTCAAGAGGCTGAGATCTAAAGATTGTAGTTCAAAGCCAGCCTGGGCAGAATAGTCCACAAAATTCTCTTATCTCCAATAAACCACTCAGAAAAAGCCAGAAGTGGCACTGTAGCTCAAGTGGTAGAACACTAGTCTTGATCACAAAGAGGCTCAGGGACAGTGCTTAGGGCCTGAGTTCAAGCCCCAGGACTGGCAAAAAAAAAGTCTATGAACTCAGTGATCTTCAGCTGCCATCACAAGACCCAGAGCACTCACTAGCTCTCAGGTCAGTCTTTTTCTGGAGTTAATCAATGACCAGTCAAGATAAGGGGAGGGAAAATAGGCCAAAGATTGCTAGGGGAAAGGTGACAGGGTAGCCCTTTCTAAGGAAGTTTATATCCTAGCACTGGAGGGAACTAATTCCTGAGCTTGAGGGCTTAGCCATAATTGAGTAGTCTTTAAGATAGACTATATCAAGAAGGAAAAAAAGATGTGTCCTGAAGCAGATAATTTATTTCTTTATTAGTTCTATTCCACGTATCTAATTTCAAATAGACCATAACAGCCAAGGAGATTATGATAAAAGAATGGCAAATGAAGATATTTTTAGGGGAGGAACACAAAGGCAAAAGGTCAATGTGCATCTGATCATATAAAATAATATTTATCAAAATGAATTCCAGGAAATGGAAACAAATTTTTTTTCTTTGTTCCTTCATCTGTCTTTGGGAGGATGGGGGGGGGACAGAACTGGTGAACAAAGGGTGAACAAATGCAGCAGTGGTACTCACTAGACACTATGTTGAAAATGAACTATACAAGTTGTGTGTGAGGACAAAAGGAAAAAGCTGGGAGAGAGAGCGAGGGAAGGAGTGACATTGTCCAAAAGTAACTGTATTTGTTGTGTGACTTATGTAACTGTAACACCTCTGTATATCACCTTCGTTATAACAATTTTTAAAAAGAAGAAAAAAAGATAATGATATTATCTTACTTGGCTACAAAGTTGCTCATGACTATTTGGAAGACTCCCTTGTTTAAGTCCTGTGTTACTGGGATCAAATACCTTCTGCCTATTTAAAGGATATATATTTGCCAAAATTCACCAGAGCAACAGAACTCATGAAAGATAGGTAGGTAGGTAGGCAGGTAGGTAGGAGAAAGGTAGGCAGGTAGGTATCTATTATAATATACTGGTTAACATTATTATAGAGATTCAGAAATCCTATGATTGATATCTCCAAGTCAGAGATGAGGAAAGCATTGGTGTAATTTGAAAGCCTGACTTCTAGGGAATGAACTAATAGGGCTGAGGGCCTCCAAGTCTAAGGGTCTAAACACCAGAGGGCAAATGATCTATGTCCTAGATCAAACATATATAACATTAATTCAACCCGTCTCTGCTTTTTTGTTCTATTCAGACCTCTATAACCACAGTGCACAAGAGGATTCTCTGCATTCCTCAGCCCAATTCTGACACTGCTCTCTCTTCCAGAAGTGACCTCACAGACACATACATAAATAGTATATAACCATGTCCAATCACTTTATCACATAAAATTAACCATCATGATGGATGTAATAGTGCATATATTAGAACAGTTACTGTAAGTTAAATTATCAGCATTACCATTTTCAAACTGCAGCACATAACATATATTGGCTTTTTAATCTTCTTAAATTTATTTGTTGTTCAAATTAGATCAATTTCTTCTAGACACTAAGGAATCTCTATTTATCTTCTACCTACCTATCTTACCCTGACAGACCCTGATAAAGCTGTCATCAGAAGTGAGTGGCAGCCCTTAGTTTCACCAAAGAGAGACTTGGGGGTGGGCACATAGGAGTTTTTGTTTTTGTTTTTGTCAGTGTGGGGGTTGAACTCTGAGCCTGGGCACTGTCCCTCAGCTCTTCAGCTCAAGGCTAGCGCTCTACCACTTGAGCCACAGCACCACTTCCTGTTTTCTGGTAGTTTTATTGGAGATAAGATCTCAAGGACTTCCTGTACCAGCTGGCTTTGATCTGCAATTCTCAGCTTCCTGAGTAGCTAGGATTATAGGCATGAGCCACCGGTGACCTGCACACAAGAGGTATAAACAGAGAAAAATGTATTGAAGTCAAAGAGAAAGTATGTCCCCATTGGAGACAAGTCTGAGAGAGCTTGATCAAACAAGTCAAGTGCCAATGCAAAAGCAAAAACACTCTCCAGATAGGATGAAAAGAGACAACCCAGCCAAGCAGCAAGTGCCTCAAGCTGCTGATGTTACTTTTGTGGGTAGGATTTAATGATCATGCTCAGGACATGAACACGGGTGTGAGCAATTCTGAGACATGGAAGGAAGGACATTTCCAAGAACCATGGGACAGGAAGAGCTTATTTGATGAGATGACTTCAGAGCCAAGATGAGGATCTGAAGGGAGATGGATGAATGAAACTGCATCTGTAGTAAGATGTAGGTGAGGCCTCTGAATAACCTTTAGACTTGTGAAATCCTTGAGGAGGGAGCTGTTGGCTGCTGTACCAAAATGTAGCTTCAACTGGGTCCACAATTATTTTAGGATAATGGTTGGTAAGGTAAGGATGACTGACAAAATGTTTTCTGGTTACTTTTCCCTTTCTGCCTGCCTGCCCCCATTCATTTTGGTTTCCCAGGTCCCTGCCCTAAGCGTGGAGGGTCTTTTTCAAATACCCTTCCATACAGGGCCATAACTAAGACAGGTAAAGGGGCTCCACTTCGGCTTCTTAGGCGTCCATCTCTTGAAACCTAAGGAAAGAAAGCAAAGGATAAACTCCAAGACAGGACTTTGTTTTCAGCCCAGAAGTCTTGTCTAGAGCACATCAATTCTAAAGCAATATAAAAGCACTATGAGAAGCACACAGGATTTGGTGTCAGAAGGTCTATGTTTCAAGTCTAGTAGTAGAGGAACTTTGTTTTGTCAGTCGTGGGCCTTGAGCTCTGGGCCTGGGCACTGTCCCTCAGCTCTTCAGCTCAAGGCTAGCATCCCACCACTTGAGCCACAGTGCCACTTCTGGTTTTCTAGTGGTTTATTGGAGATAGGAGTCTCATGGATTTTCTTGCCCGGGCTGGCTTTGAACCTCGATCCTCAGATCTCAGCCTCCTGAGTAGCTAGAGGCTACTCAGCACCTGGTGGGAGGAACTTTTAACTATATGAAGTACAGCTATGACTATAATGATTTCTCAAAATAACATACCCATGAAATAAGTTGTAGACACATTATTTCACTTGAACCTTCTATACTATGTAAAGGAACAGGACATTCATTGTTATTATACATTCATTGTCATTATCAATATTGAAATTTTACTTTCTCTGACTTCATTGTTGTGTTGGAACCCAACATACTCTTTCACAGCAAAATAAATCCCAAATTTTCTATCACAGCCTAACAACAATCTAAAACCAAAAGTTGTATTCTGTCTTGTAGTTTCCACATTCCATATGTCTCTCCTAGGATGCCAAGAATAGTATTTGGAAACTGTCCCATTGTTATAAATATTTTTATTTTGCTAGACTAGCCTATCCATTTGAAGAAATTTATCATCTTGAAAATCTCCTACCTCATAATGTCGTTCAGAGGCAAGCTGACTCCCGCTTAGGACAATCTGTGGGAAGACGTAACTTGTTCCAAATGTGCCACTGAGGGAGAATTCTCCAAACGTAGTAAAAGCTGACCCCACCGGCTCCCCACAAGTACTCAGATCAGGGGTTTGGCACTTCAGGAATGTGCATATCTAAGTAAAAAAAGAACAGTGAAATAATCAGAACACTTGGACATATTTCTTACCTACATAACACAATTTTAAAAGATAGAAGAATCTTGAGCCTGCTTCTCAAGTATTCCTTTTTTTCTTCTTTTATACTCCAAGTTACAACTTATTAGGGAATTTTATCTCCAAATTAGTTGGTTGGGATTATCTTTTTTTTAATGAAGCCAAACAGTATAGACTAATATTTTACCATGGATTCTTATATGGATTATTTGTTTCAATTGAATGTCTCTTTTTAAATCATTCACACTCATGACTACACTGGATCAAATGTTAAAATGTTAGCTCCCTCACCCCATCTCCCATTGCACTAATAGAACCTGGGGGAAACAAGAAAATGCTCAGAAATTGCAATTATTTAAACTTGAACTTGGAGTGCTGAGAATTAGTCAATATGCTTTATCTTTTTACTTTGCAGGCAAGAAAAAATATTCTGTCCTTTCTAAGACTGAAAAAATGAAGTGCTTTAGGGTTAAAAAGACACTTGGAAAAAATGCAACCTTCTACCAATTGACTGAAATCAGCACAATTTTTTAAAGAAAGGTACATCTTTAAAAAGGCAATGCTGACTTAGAAACGAAGCTAACAACGAGGTCATTCTAACATCCACAAGCACTTTTACCTGTAAGTAATACTGGCCTTCTACGACATGCAGCCCATCGAAAGCACCAAGTACGTAAACCTCATCTGCTCGCTTTTCAGTCATTTTATAAGTTAAGTGACAACACAGATTCTTCTGGCACACTGTGTAATTTCCTGTGTCTCCTTTAAGCTCGGTGAAGGTGAATCCATCAAAATAAATCATCCCGAGAAAGTCTTCCTGCTCAGAGGAGAATGGTTGGACTCGTCTAGCATAAGCACTCCAGTCCACTGCCACAGGGTAGTGGGGCTCACTGCGAGGCCGAGACTTTAATTCTGACAGCAGCAGCTGACCACTCTCAGTCTCCATGTCATAGTGATATACCTTGATGGCTTCTGGGCTGTAGATTCCACTCCCTGGGGCCAACACAAATCAATGCAAATACCAGTTTAAATTTTTCATCGCAACTGTCTAATGCAATGCTTCCACATGCGATTAAATAAAAAGATAAGCCAGGTGTCAGTGGCTCGTGCCTGTATAATAATCCTAGCTACTCAGGAGGCTGAGAACTAAGAATCATGATTCAAAGTTAGCCCAGGCATAAAAGTCCATGAGACTCTTATTTCCAATTAAACACACACACACACACACACACACACACACATGTGAAGCTGTTGTTCAAATTGTATAGCACTAACTTTGAGCACAAAAGCTCAGGGACAGTGTCAGGCTCTGAGTTTAAGCCACAGGACTGGCAAACAATAGAAAAAAATAAAATGACATTAAAGCATACAAATACTAAGGAAATCACTGTTATTTTGGCTTAAGTTCCATTTTCTTTTCAATACTTGGGTTTTGATCTTGTGCTTACTAGGCAGGCACACTACCATTTGAGCTACACCTAAGTTCCAATTTGATTCTGTGTGTTCTCTGTTAATACTGATACTACTTACCTAAACTTATGATTTAACAGAAGATCTTTTTCTTGATTTAAGCTTCCATTTCAAGCCATTCTAATTTACTTATCTAATTTAATTCATTCTAATCTAACAAGAAATTAGAAAATTTTACAAACATGAAGAATATTTTTGCATTAATTAAATGATCAATTTCTTGTGTTTGAGATTATTCATTTCAGTCAATGAAAATAAAAAGTTATTTTATCTCAACAAGACATCACAGTACAACTAATAGATGTTAACTGGGACATTCCTTAGATATTGGCTTCAATTTTTTTTTTGTTTCACCTGTTTTTCTGAGAGAACATTTCATTTGTAACCCAGGTAGGCTTTGAGCTCACTGTGTAGCCCAGATTCGTTCATTCTTTTTCATTTTTACATAATTTTATTTCGCTCTATAACTTTTTCCCCCATGTAAAATTACCACAATGCTTGCTTCCTTTGCCCTCAAGAGTAAAGTTCCTTAGGCAGAAATTCATGCTGTTGTGACTTTCATGATACTGGCGTTAATAACTAAATCCTTAAAGAAAGTCAAACCTTGAAAGCTAGTAAGTAGTCTTCCAGAGACCATCACTGCTCAATTGGCATGAGTTACCTGTCATGTGCATCCTGGTGTGGTGAGTATTTGCAGCAAGCAAGTTAACTCTCATGGATCTGGCCCACGCTGAATGGAAGGGGACAGCTGAGAGGAGGGGCAGCGTGTTGTACCAAGCAGTGGGGTAGAGAACACTGTCAACTTGATAGTCATTCACCACCACCACAGCAGGGTCATAAGAAAAAATGTCAAAGCAAGTGAAGATGCCAAACTTTCCAAACGGAGTGTCAAAAGTCACAAATTCTGAATCCTTGGGGAAATCAAATTGAATTTCTGGTGCAAAAAGATTGTACTGTTAACAAAAAGCAAAGAAAAAAATTAGTAAAAGAACAGGTTGCCAGTAGATATGATCAAAACCATAATATATTTCCTCCTAATGGCTCAATTGCTATGTGCATATGATGATATAAACAATGTTTACTGAAATGAACTCCAAGAAAGGGAAAGAAGAGAATTTTTTATTGTACTATTTGCAGTTATTATTTTTTTGCAGTTATTATTTTTTCCCTTCAGTTTATTCCCTTTTTTTACTGTTTTTTATTTCTATACCCTTTGTCATGTATATAAGTGTATCTGATTTGTGGAGGGGAAGGGGAAGCACAAAAATGGTGGGATAAATTGTGAACCAATTCAGCAATGATATTCACTAGACACTATGTTGGAAATGAACAGTCCAACTTGGGGATGAAGGGCATCAGGAAGGGGAAAACTAGGAGAAAATGAGGAAAGGGGTAATATCATTCAAAAAGAAATGTATTCATACCTGATTTACATAACTGTAACCCCTCTGTACAACAAACCTCTTTTATAATAAAATTAAATATTTCCTCCTTTGTATGTTGATGTGCATAAAAGTGTTATGCAAAGATTTGCATAAATCATGGACAACTGTCCCTGAGTTTTCTTACTATATTCATCAAAACTTTTCCTTTTCCTCCATGAATAAGATTCAATCTACAAATGGTATTTAAGATGTGAATATTTCTACCTTAAAGCTCAGTATGAAATCATTAGACTTACAATTTTCAGATTATTTCCACTATGTTTTTTGAGGATGAACAGCTCTTCCCAGTATTAAGTCTGATAGGTGATAATAAAATACATGATATCATTATTTGTTATTCCCTGTGAGACTATCAAGTTTATATAAATCGACTGAAGCAGACTTAAAACTAGTTTCAGCAATGTAATAACTAGATCTTGGGCTGGGAAGGTGGCTCAGTGGTAGAGTGCTTGCCTCTCAGGCATGAGGCCCTGAGTTCTAGTCCTCAGCACCTCAGAAGCAGAAAAAGCCAGAAGTGGTGCTGTGGCTCAAGTAGTAGAGCATTAGCTTTGAGCTTAAGAGCTGAGGGACAGTACCCAGGCCCAGAGTTCAGGCCCCACGACCAACAAAACAACAACAACAACAATTACAACAAAACTAGATCTTGTTAGTTAACAAACCACTAACAATTCTACTTTTTCAGCTTGACAGAAGCTTCACCAGTGCAGTGTTGTACACTAACAAACAGGGAGATGCTGAAGATCACTGTGTATGACTTCTTGCTCTCCATATTTGCCACAACATAGACTTGTCCTTGACCAGGAAGGTATGTCTCTCCTACACTGGTGTAGAGAAACATAATTCAATAGCTACTACCTCAAGCTGACCATATGCATAGGCTGGACTCTTGACCTTCAGTGTCTCCCTGATGGCTGTAACCAGTACAACACTTGCACTGTTAGAGCAATGATCAGGCTGAAAAAAATAACATTATGAGTTACTTACTACCTAACAGGATTAGGGTAGGACATGTTTGGGACTGGTTTTCGTTTGGTCCAATGTGTTCATAGGTCGGCTCAGGTATCAGCTCTCTCATACTCAGACGGTTTAGCACAATGCTTGCTTGTGTTAGTGTGTGCACCCTGAATCCTGAGTTTGACGGCTCAGGAAGGCATGTGACCAAACTAGAATAAGGGAGTGATAATGCCTCTGCAAGATTCCTAGGAGAGAAAAATACACTTCCTGTGGATTTTACTCATAGGAATGTGAACTCTGTGTTGCTATAGCTATGATGGCTTCTAGGAGAACTGCCATGAGAAAAGGCAGTTAGCCAATGATAAGAAGGCTGGAACAGTAGACAATATCTTTTAACCCTCCAAGCAACTAACTGTACCAGCCCTACCTTTTCTATTTTATTATCTATGAAGCCCACCTCTTTCTATAATACTTATGTAAAAGGTAAATATTTCCTTAGCTACATAAACAAAGATATTCCTCTCTTTTTGAAAAAGCTAGTTTCCACAAAGATCATGTTCCCTTGAAATCAAAAAGTCCTGTTAGACTACATGGTAGCTTAGTGTAAAATATTAACAAATGGAGTCCAAGTGTTAACCCTGACATTAAATTGTGGATGAAACAGATCATTTCCTTTTCTTTCTCAAAGAATATCACAATGTAATATTCAGACATATTCTATTTTATGACTAATACAAGTTTAAAATCCTTACTTGAGTCTAAATCAAATTAAATCCTATTCTACTGGAATAAATGACTATTGTATTATGCAATTATGAGTTAACTCCCCAGCATGGAACATACAACCATATATGCATATCACAAACAAACACAAGCAGTAAATCAAGTTTAGTAATACCTAAGTAATTCTTACCTTGTGGTAGCGGGCCACCAGTTTACCCTCAGAATCAAACACCACATTAGTGTTGTATTGGTAATGGCCATCCGGGGGACATTGAGGGTCACTGGTGTTGCACGATTTCTTGTCTCCCATATTTGCCACAATGTAAATAGAGTTGTCCTTGGCCAGGCAGCTGAGTCTCTCCTGCACTGGTGTGTAGCCAAACCTAATTCAATAGACACTGCTTCAGCTGACTCTGTTTTATCCATTTGTGATACTTTGTTGCCTATCGAATATCAGTTTGGGATCAATAATTAGCAGAAAAAGTTTTAAAACTCACATGTCACATGGTGTTTTTCATGAAAGCAATCTTTCAATGTGCCAGATTCCAGATTTGCAGTGCCAGACTGGTGTACAGAAAAGACAAAGAAAGAAACGGAGAAGCAACACTGCCTCTATATTATAAAGTACTTCCAGGAAGGCTAAGTAAGGGCTTAGAGTTTTGTAGACTTTTGAGAAAGATCTTGTCTATAACCCAAGTCATATCTTTCAAATTTGCTGATCTAGGTGTGACTGGAAACACAAGTACCAGGTGGCAGAAAATAGTGGGTTCTGTGCTAAACATCTGTTATACAAACAAATACAGATTGTGTAGTGAAATGGAAGTAAGCAAATACTTCACAGAGCTGGCATAGATTTCCTATCACTCAAAAGCAACATACAGGTCAGGTACTAAGAGCTCACACCTGTAATACTCCCTCTCTGGGAGGCTGAGGTCTGAGGATCCTGGTTCAAAGTCAGCCCAGGCTGGAAAGTCTGTGAGACTTTTATCTCCAATAAACTACTCAAAAAAGCTAGAAGTGCACTATGGCTCTAGTGGTAGAGTACTTGCCTTGAACAAAGGAAGCTTAGGAACAGTACCCAGGCCTAGAGTTCAAGCCCAGAACTGAGGGAAAAAAAGAAAAAGAAAAAAAAAACAGCAAAAGTAAAAGTATCATACAACATCTGTTATAGAGGGCCTTCATGAGAAATCATGAGGAAAACACAGAACAAATCATGAAGGCAGAATAAAAACAAAAGGAAACTAGACACTGGTGGCCCACACCAGTAATCCTAGCTACTTGAGATATAGATGTTCATGGTTCTAAGCTTAGTCAGCAAGAAAAAAAATTCAAAATTCTCTCTCTAAATAACCATCAAAATGCTATATTGGATCTGTGGCTCAAGTGGTAGACTGCAAGCACCAGCTGTGAGCAAACAAGCCAAGTAAGAGCACGAGGCCCTGACTTCAAGCTCCAATAGCAGCAGAAGAAAAGAAAGGAAAGAGGGAAAGAAAAGACCAAGAAATTAAAAGGAAACAAACTTCAGCAAAAAAGCAGACTAGAAATGTTTAGTAACTAGGGCATTGCTAGAGAATAAATAGATTCACTAGACATTGAGTGTTTCAGGGTAACATTGTATACCCAGACCCTTAAGAGTCCATATGGTTAGCAGGGCTTAATGTAATCAGCTGTGTTTTAATTTCATTTAGTAAAACTACTAAATATGAGGTCATAGACGCCTTTTTGTATCATAAACAATATGCAAATAGTGATACCTACTGTCACCAATGACAAAGTGAATGTGCACAATACATCAAGTGAGTTCCTGGGATCAACTAATTGCTCAAGATAGAACATAACATAAAAACATAAATAGTGGTTATTAGGGATTTTTATAATTATGAGAAGACAATTAATGTAGTAATTGCGTTGTTACTTTTTTAGGTAGCCTAAGGTTACCTCCAACTTGCAATCTCTCAGCCTCAACCTCCTAAATGTTAGGATTAGAGACATGAGCCACCTTGCTCTACCAGCTCCATTGTTTCTTAAAGCCAAGCAGCACTACCATGTGAGCTCTCAGCCCCTCTGCAATTGATGATGAGCTGATCTTTGAATAAAAGGAATGGATAACTTAGCTACTGATATAGACCTTTTATTTTTCTGCAGGAAAAAACTGGGAAATACCATTATGTTCACGTTTATTAAGGCCCTTTACTAAACCTGCTGTGTAATTTGTTTAATTTTTTTGGCAAAATTGCCTAATGAAATGTCTAATATATCAACACGTATAAACAGTAGATTTAGGGTTTGTTTGTTGGTTGGTTTGTTTTGGTCAAGTCGTGGGGCCTGAACTCTGGGCCTGGGCACTGTCCTTCAGCTCTTTAGCTTAAGGCTAGTGCTCTGCCACTTGAACCACAGCGCCACTTCCAGCTTTTTTCTTTTTGCTTATGTGGTGCTGAGGAATCGAACCCAGGGCCTCATGCATGCAAGGCAAGTGCTCTACCACTGA